TAGCTTTGTTCTCTGTTATGCTAACTCACATCCTAATGTGATACTAAAATCTGAAATATTTTATGTGAAAATGTATTTGAAGAACATTTCAATATTATGTACTTGTGATTTATCCATCCACACATAAATATCAGCATAAACAAACTACAGAATGTAAAACATGCTGAAGGGCAGCAGAACTCACCGATAATGGTGAGTGACTCCAACTGTCGCAGAGGGGTCAGCCAGGACCTGAGTCGGCACTCAATCCCTTCTCTGATGTACCTGTAACGGACAGCGAGAGACCGCAGCGAGGTCAGACTCCTCAGAGCGTTTTCAGGGAGGATAGTCTCTGGGTAGTCCACAAGCTCCAGACTGGTCAGAGCCGGGCCTCCATATGAAGATATTCCTGCAGCAGAAAGGAAAACATTAAGAAGCAGATCCAGGAGAGCAGATTATGGCTTTAACACTGGATTATATGAGAGGTTTAGGAGTGATAGTTTATGTATTTTCCAGCTGGAAAAACTATCTGTAAAACTGCTACTCGGCTGTTATTGTTGTCCATCTGGTGAAAATTAATAGTTGTATTAATTATGGCCATTGTTGAATGGCCATAATTTGTCTTGTTTTAAGGTGGACTTCTGGGGTCTCATGCATAAAAGAATCCACAGTTTTCACAGTAAAACTTGGTGTATGGGAAAACTTAGAAAAGTGTAGTGCACAAAAAAAAAAGATCGACTGCATAAAGCCATGCGTTATGTAGCTCGTGGCTGCACATCTTTCCTTTTTAAAGCCTAATTTGCGGGGAATAGAGCACAGCTGCTGGTCCGCTTTGTCAACACCCATAAATACATCATGTAAATTAGTATGAAAACCCAGAGGGCTGCCACCATGTGAAGCAATAATCATGGCAATGTCCTTGTTTGAAGGACGTTTTTTATTGTTGTAATAATAATAATAACTATTATATATTTTATCTAAAAGATTTTTTGAGAGCACATAATGTCACTTTACATACATAAATAAAAATAAAAATACATTTTAAAGAAAAAAAAATCCAAATTAAATCAATAAATAGAGATCCTGCAAATGCCTGTTAGAACAACAGAGCATTCAGCTGGGATTTAAAGACAGATAGTGTGTCTGAGAGTCATTGCGTGGGAAGGTGGACCTTTATTTCAAATAGTAGAATGCTTTATATCCATAAGGTGCGTTCACAAAGCGGGCGGCTCCACTGAAGGATGATTGCAGCTGGACCGGTATCGGTACCACACGGCTCTTTAAGTTTTGCTCAGAGATCCAGGATGATCAAACTGAGCAATATAAACACTAATAAACCATCACCAACATTTCCCAGCATATCAATATAATCTCTGATCAATAGCTCCTACTGAATCCTTTCAGTGGCAATGCTCTCCATCAGAGCCAAAGCTCCAGTTAGCGGCTCACCTTTCCGCAGCTACTTATACACATGTGATTGCATACACACCTTGATCACCTTAAAACCTGTTTTCTTTTTTTAGTGAGAATGAAATGATCCCAGAGATATATTTCATGCACTTCAGCGTTCAAACAAACGTGTTACATCTTTATAAAACAAAACGTGAGGAAAAGTACTATTTACATTAGAGCCAGGTTTTCACATTCTTTTATTGTTTTTACTTTGTTTATGTGTTATATTATTGTCTCAGGACAAATGCAGTTCAGTTTCATCATTTATGTTTAAACAATAAAATATTAAAATCATGAAAAACATCGAGTTTGATGCTTTTTGGTCTGAATAACTGAATGGAGTCAGATTTCTGTGAATTTAGGTGAGTTTTGACTCTTTGTAGTTTGGTATTCATAGAAAAAGTTTGCGTGGCTGCTGCACATTTTCACACCGGTAAAAATTGTGTTTATATTTATGCAAACTTTGACGCAAAGTTAATTGTCATACATGCTGACTTGTGCATTAAATATGACACCGCACATTTTTGTGCGCACGCCACTTTATACATAAGGCCCCTGGTTTGCTAAATATGAAGCTACATATAATAGTTTTGAACCTGTGACCTGAGAAAGAACTAGACTGTGACAAAAACACAGGGACAATATGAGCGTGTGTCCCAAAGGAGGCTCCTTCTGACACAGAACGTTTGTGTGTTGGTTGTTCTCCAAATTAGTATGTCTACGCCACTTAAATGGGACTGGGCGTACAGTCTATGATCCGGACTGTCCCTTGTGACAGCAGGCATAAGGAGAAGTCATACCTGGCTGTTCTGGATTCGGTGGACTCAAGTAGTCGTCAGGAAGCGGTTCTGGTGGCTCTCCCTTCATCCCCCAGGAAAGGTGGATCAGCTTCTTCAGCTTCAGCAACATGGCGTGGAAGTCGTTGCGGGGAACAGGCCTCACCGTGTCCAGCCCGTAACCCTCACTCTGCTGGTGGAAAAGGAGGAAGCGCAAGTTGACCAGCTGGGACACAGTTTGGATGAAGTCCACAGTGTTGGGCAGCCGCACGTTGCACACGCTCAGGTGTGTGAGTCGCTCCTGAAGGTGCTGCATGAGGCTGTGGCCAAGCAACGCTTCATCCCAGGTCGCGTTCCGAACCCCGAGGTCCCGTAGGTTGGGAAATCGGGCAAGGTTGTCCATGTATTTCTCTTTATATTGTCGCCCGCCATCTACAAACACTATGGCCGTGAGGGACGGGAGGAACTTCACCAGACGTCGCCACTCTTTTCGCCGCAGGTGTCGCACAGCCACCCGGGTGAGCTTGCGGTAATTCAATGTGTGCCAGAAGCCGTAAGTGTAGCGACGAAGTTCGGACATCACCACAGTGTAGTCCTTCCATAGAGATGGGTGGTCGATAAGCTTCTTTAAGTGCCTGCAGCAGGAGCGAACCGTGTGTTTTTCCTCTGTGCTAAGGTAGCTAAACACATAAACCCAAAGTTCAGGTGGGAGCTGCGGTGGCCCTTCCATTACTTCATGCACTCAGCGTGACAAATCTAGTGTGCAAATGTACAGTTAATAATTTAAGCTTTTTAATGGATCTCTATTTTGAAGTTTTCGGCGAATTTATTCCAACTGCTGCCTTATGTTTACACCGGAAGACGGTCGAGTTCTATTAGCGTTACACTGAGAACCGTCCGGCGGGAAACATTCTATAAGGCCGACCTGGAGACTTGATTCCGCCCCTGTCCCGCCTCTCTATGAATGAAGTGTGTACTCAAAGTGAACAAGGGTTCGAATGTGCACATTACAGGCGTGCAAAAATTTGAGAATTGGGACCATGTGCGCTGCAGATCAACTTCGACATCCAAAATGGCGGAACGATCAGTGTTTAGGTATTTGTGCTGCTAAAAAACACAAATCATTATAGGAGATATCTGGCTGACCAAATTGGTTTTGCTGACTTCTTGAATGTAGAGCAAAATTTGATGCATTCACAGTGAAGTGAAACAAAAAATATTTCAGTTCTTTACATTTTAAAACATGGTTTGCTCTGTGAACTTTGCCATATTTTTAATAGCAATTTTTTTTGTATATGTTGATATGATTATTTTGTCAAAATACAAATTAAAATGAACAAACTTTCAATTAAACAGCATAGCAATCCCTCCTGCTATGACTCAGCCAACGGTATGATTACATGTTTAGCTGTTACTTTAAAAAAGCCATCACTGATTACGAATGACTATAAGGACAAAAAATGTAAATTCATAACTGTCATTTTTCCCCTTTACCCTGAGAAGAAAACATTTAAGAATCATATTTCTAAATAAGAAACATACACCTTTCTTTTCCTCTCAAAAAAATAAAGAAATGAATTTCAAAATGATGACTTTTTTTTCTGTAATGACTTTCTACAAAAAAAAAAAAAAATCAACTCCTGTGCATTTTGTAGTAGATAGTGAGACACTTTTAAAAAAATTGTAACTTCATAAATGTTTTTAGAAAGATTTTCAAAACTGGATCTTCTACACAAAATCTATTCTTTTAAGTTTTGGTATTATAAAAGGTGGCCTTTTATTTTAAGGGGATGAGGAGTGAAATTAAGATATTAATGATCCACTGGCTCCATTTTTATTCACATATGACCTTTTCTAAAAAATAAAAAAAACACCTCCACTTTTAATGTTTTTAATCCATCCACTCATGTTCTTTTGCTTGTCCAGTCAGGTCGCATGAGTAGCAGCCTAAGTAGGGAGACCCAGTCTTCCCTCTCCCCAACCACTTTTGCCAACTCCTCTGGGTAAGCCCAAGGTGTTCCCAGGCCAGCTGAGAAACATCGTTTTTCCAGGGTTCCTCTTGGTCTCCTCCAGGGAGGCATCCAGGAGACATCCTAACTGGTTTGCTCCAGCCTGAGCCACCTCAACTGGCTTCTCTCGTCATGTAGGAGCAGCAGCTTTACTCTGTGTAGACTGAGCTTCTCACCCTATCTCTAAGGGAGAGCCCACACACCCCACAGAGAAAACTCATTTCGGTCCTTGTGTCCATGACCTTGTTCATTCAGGAAATTCACCAGTAAATCTAGTTTCACTTTTTGGCTCAGCTCTCTTCACCATGACAGACTGGTAAATTAACCTTTTTAAGTGAAACTTAAAAATGTTACAAGAACAAAAAAGCCTAATCTTTATACCAATAACAGTGTAATTTAGAGAATAGAATAAAACTTATTTTTTTGTGAGTAGTCACCTGGTGGTGATGCACTTAACTCAAATTCAAAAGGTCTGTTCTGTTTTAGAGCTGGTCAGCATGTAGTGCATCTTTAAAGCACCTCAAGGCTAAAGATTTGTCTTTAGAGCCTTAAAGTACATCTCTCTATATTCACTGCATTCATGGGTCACATGTTTAAAAGTGGTCTTATTGAATACTAACATTCAAAACTACATTGACAGTGAAGAATATACTCCAAACAATAAAAATGGAATAATTACATTTTGTTTGCAATAAACCATAATTCTATTGCAGCTATGGTGATTCTAGATGACAACAATAAATTGTTGCAACACATTGAGCCAGAGACAGAAAACATGCCATAATTTCATCCAAACTTATTGATGTACTTTAATAATAATGTTGAAGAGTCATAAAAACAACTTATTGTGGCAACATTGCTTAATCCCTCTAATTACAAAAAAGGAAAAAAATAATAATAATGTTGACAGTAAACAGAAATTAAAAAAAAAAAAAAACATCCATGAACTATCTCAGTAGTCGCCCGTGTTTAAATATGGAAATTTAGGTTTCTCTTCCCAACATAGCAAAAACAGTTCTGTCAGTTTCCTGGTGAAAATGTCAATATCATCCACCCAATCACAAAGTAGAAGAGAAACACTGGATATACCACAAGTGCCTTGCGGTTGGTCAGATGGCTGTCAGCAAGGAAAGCCGTAGAAGCAAAGGTAGACCAGCCAAAAGATGCCGTCACCACTCCCAGTCGAACCGCAAAGCTCACTTTCCCTGAACCACTGAGAAGGACAATCCGGCACACAATGAGGGCCACTGTCAGAGGCATGATGCAGTATCCCAGTACACACAGACTCTGGAAAAAAGAGATTGTGCCACCCAGGAGCTTGGAGTTAAGAGTGATGACGATAGAGCCGAACCAAATGATGACAAAGACCTGGGATGAGAAACAATTTGAAAAAGTACAGTTGTCAGTTGTTGGAAAACTTGTAAACTCAGAATTACATTCAAAACAACATTCCTTTGGCCTTGGGTACCTTGATTATGTTGTGAGAAAGGGAAGCAGTAGTGGGGGAAAAAAATTGAGAATCCCCCCTTTGGTAAATTCTTATTTCTTTTTCTCTTTTAATCATATACAGTTAGGGCCAGAAATATTTGGACAGTAACACAATATTTGTGAGTTGGGCTCTGCATGCCACCGCATTGGATTTGAAATGAAACCTCTACAACAGAATTCAAGTGCAGATTGTAACGTTTAATTTAAAGGGTTGAACAAAAATATCTGATAGAAAATGTAGAAACTAAAACAACAAATTTGTTACAAACACCCACATTTTAGGAGCTCAAAAGTAATTGGACATATAAACATAACCCAAACAAAAAAGTTTTTTCTCAATATTTTGTTGCGAATCCTTTGGAGGCAATCACTGCCTTAAGTCTGGAACCCATGGACATCACCAAACGCTGGGTTTCCTCCTTAATGCTTTGCCAGGCCTTTACAGCCGCAGCCTTCAGTCTTGCTTGTTAGTGGGTCTTTCCGTCTGAAGTCTGGATTTGAGCAAGTGAAATGCATGCTCAATTGGGTTAAGATCTGGTGATTGACTTGGCCATTGCAGAATATTCCACCTTTTTGCTCTCATGAACTCCTGGGTAGCTTTGGCTGTATGCTTGGGGTCATTATCCATCTGTACTGTGAAGCGCCGTCCGATCAACTTTGCAGCATTTGGCTGAATCTGGGCTGACAGTATATCCCGGTACACTTCAGAATTCATCCGGCTACTCTTGTCTGCTGTTATGTCATCAATAAACACAAGTGACCCAGTGCCATTGAAAGCCATGCATGCCCATGCCATCACGTTGCCTCCACCATGTTTTACAGAGTATGTGGTGTGCCTTGGATCATGTGCCGTTCCCTTTCTTCTCCAAACTTTTTTCTTCCCATCATTCTGGTACAGGTTGATCTTTGTCTCATCTGTCCATAGAATACTTTTCCAGAACTGGGCTGGCTTCTTGAGGTGTTTTGGGGCAAATTTAACTCTGGCCTGTCTATTTTTGAATTGATGAATGGTTTGCATCTACATGTGAACCCTTTGTATTTGCTTTCATGGAGTCTTCTCTTTACTGTTGACTTAGAGACAGATACACCTACTTCCTGAGAGTGTTCTGGACCTCAGTTGATGTTGTGAACGGTTCTTCTTCACCAAAGAAAGTATGCGGCGATCATCCACCACTGTTGTCTTCTGTGGACGCCCAGGCCTTTTTGAGTTCCCAAGCTCACCAGTCAATTCCTTTTTCCTCAGAATGTACCAGACTGTTGATTTTGCTACTCCAAGCATGTCTGCTATCTCTCTGATGGATTTTTTCCTTTTTTTCAGTCTCAGGATGTTCTGCTTCACGTCAATTGAGAGCTCCTTTGACCGCATGTTGTCTGGTCACAGCAACAGCTTCCAAATGCAAAACCACACACCTGGAAACAACCCCAGACCTTTTAACTACTTACTTGATTACAGGTTAACGAGGGAAAGGCCTTTTGAGTTACTTGCAGCCTTTGGAGTCCATTGTCCAATTACTTTTGGTCCCTTGAAAAAGAGGAGGCTCTGCATTACAGAGCTATGATTCTAAACCCTTTCTCCGATTTGGATGTGGAAACTCTGATATTGCAGCTGGGAGTGTGCACTTTCAGCCCATATTATATATAAATTGTATTTCTGAACATATTTTTGTCAACAGCTAAAATAACAAAACCTGTGTCACTGTCCAAATATTTCTGGCCCTAACTATGCTGACTGATAGTCAAGCTTTTGTTTGGACCAGTCTATGTGATAGTGAGTAGCAAGATAATGGCTAGTCTCAAATCTACACACAGTACCATGAAAATTTTTTTACTGTATTTTATCGTAGGTATGATAAAATACATATGAGAATTGGGACCATGTGCTCTGCATATCAACTTCGACATCCAAGATGATATGCAACTTTCAGTGCTGTTTTAAAATCAAATTAAAACAGTTAATTTGATTTTAAAGTTAAGTTAATTTGAACTTTCCTGTCCTTGGCTGTAAACTGTCTGACTGGGGAGAATAGTTGAGAAGAAGCAACCTTTTTTTTAACCAAATCAGACTATACAGAATACAGACTGAGTTCTATTGAAGCCAAGAGTGAAGGTGAATGGGACTAGACTTTAGCAGTTACTTTTAATATCAGTGTTTTACTGACTAAAAAAAAATCTCCTGCAGTTGACTTGCACCAAAGGTCAGGTGATAATACCAACGATTTACATTGATTTTAACAAAATGAAACAGAAAGCTCCAGAGTGATCAGAGTAGAATGGAGCTACATCACTTTGCATTTCAGTGTGCTACTAGTCACTCTGATCCATTTTTCTTGTTATAATATAGACAGCTGTCAGTTTTAGAAAGTCATGTTTTTTGTATTATGTGCTTTGAAACACCAACGGGTTCTGAGCATCTGATCTTATATGGTGTGCAAATGCTAGATGCATTTTATGGGGTTGAATGAAAGTCTGGAGACAGTGGAGAGGCATTAAATCCACATTGCTTGAAGTTCAGGGTGAAGTTTCCACATGAGTGACAAAAGTTATTCAACTATTTCACAATATTAGAATTTTTGCATCCACCTGTTAGAAAGCCTTTTGGTTGAGAACTGCCCTGTCCTGGATGATGGACAATCTACACAAATCAAAAATAAATATTTGAAAATCAAATTCTGTGTGACAAAGTGTTTTTGTCTGGAGTACAGCTTGACCTAATAATGATGTCAACCTGGTGAAAACAGCAAATTAGGAAATTTGTTTTTCCAACTTGGATTACTTTTATCACCTAATGATCAATTATATCTTAACTGAACTGAATTGGTGTGAATGCTGTTTTTTAAAAACTCTCCCTTTAGAAAATAAAGATATTTAAATGACAGTCCTGGTGAAGCTTTGGTTGGTCTCGTTATTCTACCAGCACCTTGTTCATTTTACCAAAGTTGAGTTCAGAGATGAATTTGTTTGGATACACAAAGCATAGCTAAAACATAAACTTTTGAGATAAACATTAACTACTTCAATCAAAATATGTGGCTACACAAATATGGTTCTGTGTAGCTGATCCCTGGGCAAGGTGAAAAATACTGCTCCAAAAATTCAGTATCTGATTCTATTAACACTGGAGTTAAAGAAGTCGAACTGAAGCTTGGAGATCACACAAACCCTCTCCAGGAAAAATGAACTACTGTAAATTGCTGGGATTATAATTTAACAATGAACTGACAGTGAGAACATCTTCCATAGTGGTAGTATACTTCTGCTCGGTTTGGAACATGTTCATTGTATTCATAATACGCATTAGTCACAATTTCAAACTGTACTGACGTATAATTTCTCTCAGGGTGCCTAGTCATTTTGCGTGCCTGAACTTCAGCGGAACTAAAGCTCAAACTTAAATTAGTTGCAGTCTCAACAAAGTATCCTCATACATAGCTGAGCTCCTGTACATCCTCTACGTCACCTCATATTGAGAACGGCCAAGAAGAACACTCCAGAAGATTTATAACTCAGATACTAGAACTGATTGATTGAATGTTTGAAAAAGCTTGGTTACCTCGGCAAACTGCGGTCCTCCCTGGTCGTCGCTGTTGGCCGCGCCGCCTTGAAGCAGCAGAGCCAACGTGACGCAGAGCAGCAGCGGACCCCACAGGTCCCAGTCACGCAGCAGAGCCGAGCTCCGCTTTGGATACAGCACATGAATAAACTTGTTACCCACGGCTCGGAGGTCACGCACAATAGTTGCCTTCACCGGCTCGTCCAGAGTGGAAAACTCATCGTCTCTTGTGGATGGGCCGACGGGGACGGCAATATCTCCTTCCACTGGTATCTCTTCCGATATGGAGACGTCTGACAGCCCAGCAAACGGCCTACTGGCCTCCTCAGCCGACGCCATCTATTTTGCAGTTGAGCTTATAGCCAACACCACGTTCACTTCAAAAGGTAGAGTTCTCTGAACTTATGCGAACCACAGCAGTGACTAAATGAGCTACTGCTCTATCAAACAAAGAATTTCAGGCGTTAAACTGACAAGAACCTCACTCCACGTCCGCTAAGAATTGTTTACTTCCGCACTACGTCAGCTGAAGACATGTGACTTCCGCACTACGTCTGTGGTGCATTCGAGTATTTATGCTACTGTTCCGAGTCATACCTGTCAAGTCTCCCGTTTTGGCCGAAAAACTACCGTATCTTACCCTTCTGTTCCGGTGTGCTCTCGTATTAGCATTTTTCCGAAAACTTCCCGTATGAGAGTAATTGCGTCGCAACCCTCCGACCCCGTCTCTAACGGTAGTTACTCACTGCTATTAGCGATGAGCTACGGCAATCTGAAATCAGGTTTCGAGGCGTGTCAGATGAAGCCCCGCTTCGATGGTTGTGTCGTTTAGCTGACAACCACGTGACTGGCAACAAACGACCATGACGAAAGCCACACTGCTCTTCCTTAATCAACTATCTGATGAACCCTCCTCTCAGGATTCCTGATTCGACCTTGCCAGGGAGGCTTAGCAGTAGTGATGGTGAGATGAAGCCTCATGAGGCATTGAACCACTTGAGCCAACTGGTTCGAGAAAGGGTTAATTTCTTGAAGCTTAATGTGCTCATGAAACCACCTACTGGCTAGGTGTATAATCAGCTGTATCTTAACACGTGTGATGCATTGAATTTTTGTCTATTATGGCTCTTGGGAATGACGTCACAAAAGGTGTAGGACGAAATCATTTGTCTACATAAATTATGTACATACATATGTGTATAATAAAATATTGTTTGAATGTGTTGGCTATAAGCTCGACTGTATTTTTTTCCAAAATACTAGTGTCATGTGATATGGCATGTTGTGTAATAATGTTTTTCTGTGACTAGAAAAATGGCATGAGCTTAATCAGGCAGAGGACAGTGAAAGTGTTTGTGGAACTAGGGAGGGGATAGTAAATAGGCTAATGCTTGTGTAACTTGGATGATTAAATGCATTTTATTAAGAAACAATTTCTCCACAATATTTGGTTTCAAATGATTCCTTTTTTGACACTACTTCTCCAGCCATTGAAAAGACACGCTCACGCTCCTAAATCTCCTATCTATCTATCCATCTATCTGTCTACAAAACTCTCCAAACACCAAACTAACTGTCTCAAACTAAGTAACCACTATCCAAACTGTTATCCACTCTCTCAACTGACCGCAACTCGCCTACAACAACCCACATTTTGAATGGAGCCTGTGGGGTTTATAAAGCTGTCAAACCCCGCGCCAAAATCTGAACCACTTCTTGAAGCAGTCACATGGTACAGCCGGGCAGCAAGGCCTCGGACGTCGTTGTTTTCGCTCCTCCCCTAAATGAAGCAAGCCTCGATACGCGCTTTATGGAAACGTCCCTTCCATTACTCGACACACACTTTGAAGCCTCGGCACATCACGTAACATCACTACTTAGTAGTGTGAACTCTACTCCCCCTTTTTGAACAGGGAATTGGCAGACCTCAGTCTGCCAATTGAGGGGAACTGCCCCCGATGTCCATGCAATGCTGTATTGCAGTCATGTCAACCAACACAATCCTACAACATCCAGAGCTTTAAGGAACTCGGGGTGAATCTCATCCACCCCTGGGGCCCTGTCACCGAGGAGCTTTTTAATCACCTCCAGAGATTTGAGAGTCTGACCCAGAGTCCCCAGGCTCAGCTTCCTCAATGGAAAGCATGTTGGTTGGACTGAGGTCTTTGAAGTATTCTGTCCACCGGACCACATCATGGAAGGCAGCTGATGGGCAGAAAGAAGATATTAAGAATTCTAGCACCTTTGTGAAATTGATCCATGCAGTCTGCAACCTCAGTAGTGTCTGTGTGACTTGAGGGCAGCAGCTCAAACACCCGCTGGCCCTCAGAATGCTGTAAGCCCTCTTGAAATAAGATCTTCTGAGTGGTGTGATTTTCCTGAGTGGCTTCATGTGTGCGATAGTGCAGATAGTGTATCATCCAGATATGCCAGAAGACAGCAGACGGTCAGCAGCTCACCACTGGTCAGAAAGAGGAGACATTGCTAGGCCTTCTTCACTATCGTCGTGCTGATACAGCTCCTTTTGGGGTCTGCATCCTTGTGGACACCTGGAAACTTAAAGCTTCCCTCTTAAAGATTCCCCTCTCTACACATCTTGTGATGATGGTATGTGCTGCAGGTCAAACTTCCTCTTGTGAGGGTAGCAATAATCTCTTTTTCTTCAAGGTGTTAATGACGAAAGTATCAGCACACCACCCCTCCAGCCTGGTGAAAACATAGTCACTTAAATAAGCTTTTAAGATTTTATTTAAATATTCATTGGCAGTTATACAGTTTCAGATTTTTCAACATCACAGAGGTCTATGAAAGCACAAAAATGGCGAAAGAACAAACAAAAAGAAAGAGTGAAAAAAAAATCAAAGAAACAAAGAGATAAAGAAGTTTTTAGTCATTTGGTATGTTCCTCTAGGCTCTGGATCACAGCAGATGCCACCTTCCTGTAAGCCTCAGCCTGGATGTACAAAAACCAAACAGAAGAAAACGTTAACACAGATAACTGAAGTTCCTCAAACTAAAATGAAAAACTATTAGCAGATAACAGTTGAACAAAACCTACACCTTTATTTTTCTAATATTTAACAATGTAAATTTTTAAATAAAAGCAACATGAAAAAAGGTAGTAAAATAATAAGTAGAGCAAGTAAGTAATAAGTAAAAACTATGTCCTCCTGTGTTTTAAAACCTGCACAGTGATATGAAATCTCTTTATACTGCCATCACTTTTTGAAAGTAACACAGAAGCTGGCAGCCTCATTCAGAAGCTGTCTTGGCGGATGCTGTTTTATTTTACTCGAACAAAACTTAGCTTGCCACTAAATATATTTTTGGAGAGCTTTCTAGTTCTGCCCAGTAGCTGGAAGGCAAAGTGAGAGTCTGATAAACAGAAAAGTCTTCTGACTTTGATAGGAAAGACTAGTATAACTTTAGTATATTAGTCATCCGATGAACCGGTCACTAAGTGGTAGAGGAGTACGCACACTTTGAATCAGTGTGGATCTACCAATTACATCTTGAGAAATTTCGACAAATATTCAACACTTAGAACACCATGATGGGCATTAGTGTATACAATAATGGTTGGTTTAAATTAGTGAAAAAGACCCACAGTGTGCCATCAAACTATGCAGTTTCTATAGATGAGGGATTTTACCAAATTGTTAATAATTTTGGAGGAAATTCCACAGTATTACTGACTCTAACTGAAGTAATCATATAAAAAATAGAATAATATAGAAACCTCTGGGCTGTCAGGAGAAGAGATGACTATGGGTTGTCCTTTGTCCGAAGTCTCTCTGATGTTTAGGTGAAGAGGGACGTCACCTGAGAGAAAAAAAGTTCTGGTTCTAAGACTTGGTGAGAACCAGAAAATTGCTCTTTTACAACAAATCCACAAGCTTTACATGAAATCTAAAATATTTTCCAGAGAAAACCAAAAGTCACACCATCATGATCTGGCTATCAGGTTTTAAATAATGCTCTTTACTGTCTCACCCAAAAACTTGACACTGATCGTCTCAGCAAGTTGCCTTGCCCCGTTGGATCCAAAGATGTGGGTATGATGATGACAGTTGGGACACTGGAAGACACTCATGTTCTGAACCAGACCCAGAACCTTCAGGCAGAAAACCTGCTGTCATCCAGAGCTCAGACATTACCAACAGATTCTCTGTTTCTGCCCTGATGGAAAGATTACCGGCACGTTAAGTTTTCTAAACATCTCGGCTCCCCTGCGAGCGTCTAGTAGAGCAACATCTTGTGGTGTTGAAACGATGACTGCCCCTGCACAATGCACACAAACACACTGGCAGGTTAAAACAATTATCATACAAACAGTCTTTCCAGGGTGTGTTTTAACACCCGATAGTCCGGTAGACTCGGTTTAATTGGGGACCAAAATTCAAACATTTGTTGCATTTTCAACTGCAGAGGTTCACATTCACACCGCATTGTCAAACAATCCAAAACGAATTGAAAAACTTATTCAGACAAGCGAGGCAATTCAGTTTTTGTCATTTATTAAAGATTTAAAAATTGTAGCACCTGCAGAGATCAGAGATAGCTTTTTTAGTCTGTTTTGGAATTTAAATTTGCATTCACTCCCCCCAAATAAATTTGAGTTTCTAGACAAACAAATTAAGAGTCTGATTAAAGCGAACTAAACAGGGCTGGTGTGAATACACAATTTAAAGGAGAACTGACCTGCAATGGGAATGTTCTGAGTGATGGACAACTGGACGTCTCCAGTCCCGGGAGGCATGTCTACCACCAAGTAGTCCAGAGAGCCCCATTCTACCTACAAATGTAAATAGACAATATCAACATTAATGGATGACAGAATGGGGGAATAATAAATATTCAGTCTGACTTTTACCTGTCTGAGCAAGCGCTCTACAGCAGACATTACCATCAGTCCCCTCCAAACTACCGGGGATGCATCCTGCACCAGGAAGCCCATTGACATACTAATAGAACAGAAAAGTAACATTAGAGAACATGTGAACTCACTCACACATGGGGCATGTATTTGTTTACCCACACAAGTGACCCATAATTCTGAATTTTGAAATTTAACCATGACTATTTTTAAAAGAAAAAAAACAACTCACCATGGGACACCATAGTTGATAAGAGGAATCATTCGATTATCTAAAAGGAAGGTGAAAAAAGCTCAACTTCATGTACAGAACAGAATATCTAATCCATTATCAACAAGGCTTAGCTTAACAACAGACCATCGTTGAGCTCTGGGTTTCCTTTCAAGTTCATGAGTTTGGGAATGGAGGGCCCATAGATGTCAGCATCCAACAGACCAACGGACTTAGACTGAGAGAGAAGGATCAGCTCCATTAACCTGACCTTAGGCACAGCATGATCCAGAGCCAAAAATTTGATTGATTTTTTAAAATAAAATCAACATTTCTGATTCTGTTATCCCCTTGTCTGTAAGTTTCATTTTAAATAAAAAAAGAGTGACATCTTACCTTGTCAATGACCATTAATCCAAGAGCCAAGTTCACTGCAAATACACACACTAGAACTGAGCTCATAATTTTCAAAAGGATTCATATTAAAACTCTTTGTTACAATAATAAGATGAAATGTATTATTTAAAACTATGTTTCCATAGTTCAAAATATGAATCTGTGGTTGAATAATTCAGTTTGTTTAATCTGAAACAGATTGAACAAATTTAATGTTTCAGATAAAATTTGTTTAATTTAATCTGAAACATTAAAATAAACAAATTCAATGTTTCATTTACATTAAAAAGTATTTCTACAATTTTTAGATGTAGAAACACACACTCACGCTCTTTTTACTGGGAATAATCAGCAAGGTGTCATTTAATCGTTGACAAAAAAGTAACAGTTACATTTTCTGCAGAGGAAGTCAGCAGTACCTGCTGTTGTCGACTTTCCCACGCCGCCTTTCCCTGAAGCAACAACAATCACCTGTTTGACGTCTTCGATGGGCTTCTGCTTAGGAAGACCTCTGGCCATTTGCTGCTTCTGCCTATCCTGCAGACCTCTTTTGTTCATCGACCCATTTGACTGTATCCCCTGAACCAGAACCAAACAGAGAAAAAGCATTTATTTTCTATGCACTTCAAAGTAACTTCCAGAAAACTGCAAAACACTTTAAACACTGAGATTCTTTAAATCAAAGCTAAGAACCTACATGTGTAGATTTGCTTTAGATTAGTAATAAATGGAACATTTATCAACATACTTGATGTGAATTTGCTTAATGGGATTTGACAAAATGTAATATTTTTTGATGTTACATAATTGGTTGCTATACTGTTTATATGACGTAAAGCACTTTGAACTGCTTTGTTGCTGAATTGTGATATACATATATAATCTTGATGTGACCAGCACAGGGAGACCTTTTTCAAAGTTATGTACAAGATGCACCGGAACACAGACAAAATAATACAAAATATTTTATTAACAATTTCCTTGAAAAAATTTCTCTTTCTAAAAACATGGCTTCAGACCTACTACTCGGTCCCTGGAAAGAAAAGGCGTAGGGTGAGGAAAACTCTTAATAATTCCAAAAGACAAAAACATGAAATGCAAAAGAAAGCAAATTAGTAAATCAACCCCCGCCCAACCCCAAAAAAGCAAACAAATGAGTAATTTCAATATTGCACAACAAAGACAAAATGTAAAAGAAAAACACTTAAAGCAATGGAACAAATTGTTGTTGCCCGGTTTTAGACTCGTTTCAACGGGGCTAGAGGATATTGCCAATTCTCATAGAATTTACACTTTCCCATGTGATTAAAGGTAAGTTGACTGCTATCTGGTTGAATGAACAAAGTGCATCTGCTATTAAAGTCACGGCTGCAACTCCACTCCTTTTATTGGTTCCGCTATACGCACTCTAAAGCAACATGTAAATAAGGACAAGTTCTGCAGAATTTACGTGTTTTGTTGGTTTTGCAGATTAATTTAAAAAAGGCAACATACAATAGTAGACAAATAAAATTCTCTCTAATTAGTTGTTCTCAAAATCATAATGGGTGTCTTTTGGAATTGGGCAGTACTTTTGCAAAAGATTGTAGTTTTTTAAGTTTATCGCCTTGTTTATTTCCTGGTCCGGTAAAAGGGTCCTAAGAAGCCACGCCCACACAAACATTTGTCTTTGCCAGCTGCTGCCAAAAGTTAATTTAGCCACCAGTTAACCCAGTGATTCCCAAAGATTTTCTGGATCCCCCTATGAGTTACAATAAAATTCCCCCCGCAAAAAAAAAAAAAAAAAAAAAAAAAATCAACAGGGTTCACACTTCGTTCAAACCAGACATACCCTATAACATATTTTGTTTTCAAACTCCACTAAAGTTTATTTGACACTTCAGGTTGCAACAAAACAGACTATAAACCATCTTTACAGTGAAACCCTCTTGTGTAACTGTTTTTTTGGTCCTGGGTTCAATTCCCTGGCCAGAAATTCTTGCTGCAAGGCAACAGTGCTACCAACTGCACCACTGTGCTCCCCTTGTTTTTGTAACATGTTAATTTATTTCCTAGTTCATTTGCAGAAGACATGTCTGCCGCAGTTGCCTTTTTTAAATGTGACAGTATTTCTTTATTGTTGATATTTTTTCTCGTAATTTAACTAAACATCTTCATTCTTTTCATCAAGTGACTCTAATACTCAACTATAAGAGACAACGCTGACATAACAATTGTCTTACATACTTTTACATCAGAGACGGGTTAAAATCTTCCCTCAAACTGACGTTCCGAAAGTGTTACCAGTTAATCCAGGTTTGCCTCCTAACAGGTAGGATGACTGGACTTCCGTTGGCTGATTTAGTGTAATGGTTAAAACAGCACTCTTGAAGCTCAGCGTGGGTACGAGTTCAGTTAATGCTTATGTCTAATTTACATTTTGGACCAATGTATTTTATTGTCTAAAAAAAGAATATTCACTTGTGAGGTATGTTTTGGTGATATTGTAATATATTCTTCATACAAAGAATGATTACTGTTTAGAAGAGCTCAAAGAGAAAAAGACATTTTCATGTCTGTTTGTTTACATTTGTCACGTTTTGATCAGGAATTTTACAAACATCTTTGTCGAGGACCCTGTTTGACTGTCACTGGTTAATCCAGGTCTTAATGTGGCTTGTTTTGTTTTTAAGTTTATTTCCCCTCGTCACCAGCCCGCAAACTGTTTCCCAGTAGTGAACACACAGATAAATACTGTCAATATGAATCTGTTGGTATCTGACAGTATAATGTAGGAATGTTTATCGTTATAACTTTGGCTCATCAATTTGGATTCACCACCAACTACAACATTGGCTTTTAACTTTATATAATTTAGATGAGACATTATTGCAGTATAACTGATAGACATTATTTGATATTCCTCTCTATTTAGACACGTAAACACCACAGCAACACCATCAGTATGTAATTTAAATTTTATTAAATATGATGACATCAACCTCATTGTTTAGTGACACTTCCTGTGGGTCGCTGGAAAAGAAGGAACAGTTTGGTTGCATTGCAAGATCTGAGCCAAAAACACACAGTAGGCTAGAAGTGTTAACTCACATTACAGGAACGTGAGAGTAAATTCCAATGTTTTTCTGATCAGAGCTGGTTACAGAAAGCAGAAACCTTTCACTTAGGTTTACATTATGGCTGTTCATGAGATGATATTCATTTATTCTGGTGAACCTGAAAGTGAATGGGATTGTCATGTTACTCATTGATCTGGTACTGATCCAATGCGGTGTTTTCGAAGTGCACCGAACGCTGCACTACCTCTACAGCGTTGAAATTAGTTTTGAAACAGATTTTTCACATGCAACATTAAACATATATGCTTCAGATGGGATTTATAGTAAAGTTATGAGAACAGTAGTGATGGATCCAGCAACGCTGATGCGTCACCGCATGCGTCAAGACCTTAGACAAAACGTGCTGGTGCACATAAGTCACGTGACCAATACGGGAACTGTTCTGAAATGACACTGGTGCAGCAAACTGCGTTTATAAGGAAGAGGATCTGCCAATGGGATGCGTTTGCCAACATAATTTTTGATCTTTTATGGTACAGCGTTAACTATTGAGCCTCAAGGCAAACGATAGGTTTTGTAGTTTGGGACCATTTTGATTTTGCATCAAAAAATAAGGTATTGGTTATCACTTCGTTGTCGTTTCATCCAGTTCTTTTCAGTTTCTACTTGATCTATCTGAATCCAAATTCAGCTGAAATTAACTCTTAGTTTACTTTCATATTATGTTCTGCAGGTTAAGTGTTGCGTATGTTTTACAGAACTTTCTTATTTAAATAAATCCACCTTCTCAAAACTGAGGCATTATATGTCCAGGAATCAGAATGCTTCCTGAGAATGAGGGTTTTTTCTTATCTGAAAAAACCCTCACTTGACCCCAACATCCTTGCCCATTACAGACCTGTTTCAAATTTACCGTTTATATCCAAAGTTCTGGAAAAAGTTGTGGCAGCCCAACTTCATCAACATCTTCACATCCATAACTTCTACGAAAAGTTTCAGTCTGGTTTCCGTTCCACTCACAGTACAGAGACAGCTCTGGTTCGCGTAATGAATGACCTTCTCATGACTGCGGACCAGGGCTAAGCATCTGTTCTCCTCCTCCTTGACCTGTCGGCTGCATTCGACACAGTGAACCACACCATCCTTCTCAACAGGCTACAGTCAGAAATTGGACTTTCGGGTACAGTCCTTAAATGGTTTCATTCATATCTTACCAATAGAACTGAATATATTTCCTTGGGTCAGTGTAAATCTTCAACTCATACTGTGACTTGTGGAGTTCCACAAGGGTCAGTCCTCGGGCCAACCTTTTCACCATCTATATGCTCCCCCTTGGTCATATAATCGATAAACACAAGGTCTCCTTTCACTGCTATGCTGATGATACACAACTGTATATGAAAATGGACTCCACTTCTCCTACAGTTCTTCCGTCTTCACTTCAGCTTTGCTTGGAGGAGATAAAGGCATGGATGACTGCCAACTCTCTTCAACTTAACAGTAATAAAACGGATGTAATCCTTTTTGGCACCCCTCATCAAACTCAGTCCTCTAATCTCAGCAGTATCTCAATATTTGGTCTTAACATTCCCTTTTCTACCACCGTCACAAACCTTGGAGTTAGGTTTGACTCTAACCTCACTTTCAACTCCCACATCCGTCATCTCTCCAAAGTCTCCTTCCTCCATCTCAAAAACATCGCCAGACTCCGCCCCTCCCTTTCCCAATCGGATGCTGAGAGGTTGATCCATGCCTTTATCTCCTCACGGTTAGACTACTGTAATGCCCTCCTCGTTGGGACCTCTGGTAAAAACCTGCAAAAGCTCCAGCACATTCAGAACTGTGCTGCCCGGGTCCTGATGAGGAGGCGCAAATACGACCATATCACTTCTGCTCTTCATTCACTTCATTGGCTACCGATCAAACATAGAATACATTACAAACTCTGTCTGCTCACCTATCAATGCATCCATGGAACTGCTCCTGCTTATCTCAGTGAACTCCTCTCACCGCACGCTACCTCTCGAAGTCTTCATTCCTCCACCTTCTTCTACTGCCTACATCAACCTAAGACCAAACTAGCCACTATGGGGGATAGGGCTTTTCAGGCAGTAGCTCCGTGGCTCTGGAATGCCCTTCCAGAGTCCCTGAGAGCCCCACAAGGTGTGGAGGCCTTCAAAAAAGGTCTTAAGACTCACCTTTTTAAACAGGCCTTTTAGAACTGTAAGTTTTATTTTAAATTGTTAGTTTTAATGTTTATTTTGGTACCACTTGGTGTGATATGTATTATTTTATGTTTTACTGTAAGCTTTACAATTTATCTTTTTTAGTCTCTGTAGCACTTTGAGATTTCTTTGAAATATAAGGTGCGTTACAAACAAAATTTATTATTATTATTATTATTATGAAGTCCCAGATACACCTAGAATAACCTCAGGTATACAGCCATTCTATGAATTACTCTGTAGCTTTTTATAAATTATTTCATATAGATGTATTGTTTACTTCATTTTTTCTACAGTAGAAGTTGTCTCAAAAAAGCATAAGACTAAATTTCAAAATGTTGGAAAAACTTTTGTTTTTGATTGAAAATTTGTGAACTTAAATTTTCTTCACTTGGTACATGTTCACATTATTTATTGACTGTATCGAACAATATAAAATATATTTGGAATTTAACTGAAGATGACATAACAAAAAATACTGTATATAATATACAATGAAGTACAATGGCTTAAATTGTGTTGTATAGGCTAGGTCATACCTGTCCAGGGTGTACCACGCCTCTCGCCCGGAACGCAGCTGGAGAGAGGCACCAGCAACTATAGACCCCAATAGGGACAAGGGTGAACAGATGATTGATGGATCCGACAAGGGTGAACAGAAGATGGATGGATGGATGGACGGACGGATGACCTAGTCCGGGACGGACGGACTAGGTCATCAAATCAGTCTGTCAACTAAGTTGCCTGTAGGGATTTTTAATGTCCAGCAAGTGTCAATTTCAGTGACACAGCATCGACACAGTATCAATACTATCAGTACTTTTCTAGTGATGGTAAATGAGGTGTCAAGAAGCGTTTTGACCCATAGCAAACGGTTTTGTCCCACAAGTAGAATTTTTCAACAGCCATCAACACAGCCACCTACAACTTAGAAACATCTGTGGTGTGCATAGGTTTCAACCAGTTAAGAGAGGCGAATGTGGCAGATCTGACCATTTTCACGTCGCTTCTGATCGATTAAAACAACTCATATAATCATGTCAAGGTTTTAACATTCAGTTTAATTGGCAGCTTAAAAGAATTGTATAATAAATAAATAAACAAGATCTTCTGACGCTGTTTTGTGTTATTTTAAATACCAAGAGAATCGCTCTTTTTCCAACTTTTCTCACTTAAGCCTAACAGAAATAAAAGTCAGGCACCAAACACAATTTTCCAACACGTAGTGTGTATGTAAAGATTTTTGAGAATTTGAAACAGTTGCTCTTTATTCTCCAAAGTTATGGGGGAAGGAGAGGAGAGAATGGATAATTCAGCTGCCTGAAATAGTCTGTTCCCCCTCCATAATATGGGAACAACTTAACTTACCAGCAAGTTTTTTTTCTCAGTTTATTCTTCTCATCATCAACAATAAATCATGTGATTTTGGTACCATTTGCTCCTTGTTTGTCAGAGCTATGAGGGGGGGAACCATATATTTTAGCCTCTTGAAATAATCTGTTCCCCCTCCATAACCTAGGAGCAAATTAATTTACCAACAAGTCTTTAACTGTCCTTATTCTTAGAAAATCCTGTAAATTTGGTGGCAATTGCTCCTTATTTGCCAGAGATATGAGGGGGGAACCATATATTTTAGCTGACTTAAATATATGCTGGGTTAGCTAACGTCCCAGCTAACCTCCCAGCTAACCTCCAAGCTAACCTCCAAGCTAACCGCCCAGCAGAATCACAGACACAAACCTGACCTGGAATCTTTTCAGCTGCCCACAGCAACCTGCTCCGTGTTTTATCTCGGTCCCGTTTCGGAATGCTGAAGTTTTGCCTGATGTCCTCAGAATATGGGACAGTCTGGAGTATGTGAACAGAATCATGTTTAGCTCCGAAGCTTTCTGCGCAGCAGGTTTGCGCATAGTTCCCATGTTCAGCATTTATTTTTCTTTCTTTTTTTAAAAAAATCTTTATTAGTAATTGTCAAAACATCGACAACATTGACAAAAGAAAAGAAAGAACTGTGCCGGGGAAGAAAGAGAGAGTCAATGACCAACAAACATTTTGTTTTAGAAGATATTAAATTAGTGTCATAAATGTACAGTTTTTATGGCTTTTGGATTATTAGATTTGATTAATCTTTTGAAATTAAGTCAAATCTTTTGAATAAAGGTCTGTTTTTGATGAACTTGCATTTATGTGTAAATTACCTAGCAACAAGTAGTAATAAAAGTAAATTATGACGTTGATGGTAAAAAAAGGAGTCACAGTTCTTTTTGTCAAAAGCAGTAAAGCCAAGAATCGCAATTTCATCACAGAGAAGAGTTTGTGGGGAAATAGAAAGTATAAAGCTCCTGATATCATCTCATACATTTTTGGTATAGTCACAGCTCCAAAAACAAATGAGTCATGTCTTCAGTTTGGGGCATAGAAAGAGCATAACATATCAAATGTTTTTCTTAAATCTACACACACACTGTTTATTAGGGTAGCATCTAATTTATGTCACTTTTTTAAATATATTAAATATATTAGTGGAAAAAAATTGTAAGAGCCAAAAACGTCAGTTTGTGACATTGTTTATGACTGTGAATGCCTTTTGCATAGTTAGATATTTCCTTAATACTACGTTTCCATTTTATTATGTTTTTGTAGAAAAGCGCCACCTAATGGACGTAATTGAAATACGTAAAAAAGTGCTGTATTACGTTAGAGCAGAAAGAAATTGGAATATTTTGTGTTTCAATAGCTCAACACAGTTTTTTACGCTCAGACAATGGCACAAACTTTGTCGGTGCCGAAAGACAGTTGCGTGAGTCTATTGAGCAGTGGAACCAATCAAAAATTGAGGACACGCTGAGACAAAATGGAATTCAATGGATATTTAATCTAATAATAGTTTTAGTGGTAGCATTAATTTGTGATAGCAGTATAAATGAAAAACGTTTTCTGCACAAACCAGCACAAACATAGCAAAGTTGATTGACACCAAATTTATTTATGTTTCCAAATGTGAGCAGGGCCAGGGGAGTGGTTGACCTCTGATGACCCCTGGAGAAATTTTTTTTTTAATACCTTCAGAATGATACCTGCCCAAACAAAAATTTTTGCTGCACAAACCAGCACAAACGCAGCCAAGTTGATTGACACCTATTTCATCTGATTTGAATCAATCAGTCAATCAAATTTCATTTGTATAGCACATTTCAGCTACAAGGCATTTCAAAGTGCTTCACATCATAAACACAAAACACAAAGTCATGTAACAATAACAAGTGTTTTTTTGTTTTTTGTCTTTTCTTTTTGTCATGGAATTTAAGCGCCTGTTACCGCCGGACTCCGCCGTCCGTTCAAACAAGGGTATTTGCTGGGCCTCGTTGCCCACAACAGGAAAAAAAAAAATTACATACATATCCACAAATACAAATCCATACATATTACATTTCAAAAACAATTCTAATCAGGTGTGTTTTTACTTGAGATTTGAAGGAAGTCAGGGTTTCGGCTGTTTTACAGTTTTCTGGAAGTTCGTTCCAAATTTTTGGTCCATAGATGCTGAAAGCTGCTTCTCCTCTTTTGGTTCTGGTTCTGGGGATGCAAAGCAGAACCAGAACTAGAACCTGAGAGGTTCTGGTTCCCACAACAGCAGATCTTTGAATGAATGGGAGGTCAGAGGTCAGAGATCGGCCTGTAATTCTGCAATAGTGATTTGTCCAGGTTGTTCTTTTTTAACAGTGGTTTGATAACTGCAGTTTTCAAAGCCTGGGGGAAAACACCTGATATGAGTGATGAGTTTACTATTTGAAGAAGCTGGTTGCCCTTTTGACCTTTAACCTTTCATAAATATCTTCAAAGCCAAAGCAGCACAAACGAAAATTTTTGCTGCACAAACCAGCACAAACGCGGCCGAGTTGATTGACACCTATTTCGTCTGATTCAAAGAAGGTGGGGGGGCTTGTTGACCTTTGATGAACTGTAAAAACATTTCTTTATATCTTGAAAATGATAGCGGCACAAACAAAAAATTTCGCTGCACAAACCAGCACAAACGCAGCACAAACGTTTGACACCAATTTTGTCTTATTTGAAGAAGGTGGGGGGGGGCAACTTCACTCATCCTGACTCCGCTCTGTAGCAGTATGTTCTTCAAGAGAAGAACAGTTATAGGTAGTTGTTGGTGCTCTTTTTTCTTCTGGGCAAAAAGATTCTTATAAACCGACATGCCGCCATCGGATATGTTTGAGTAGCATGTCCAGAAGTTGAACTTTTTCTGCGATAGTTAGAATCTTCCTCTGCCTTTTGGGCCCGACCGCAAGTGCCTTTTGTCGGTGCAAAACGTTTTGTCGACATCATGGGTTTTAGACAAACTTGAAATCGCAAGAGAATTTGCAAAGGTAAATTTGCTGAGCTGTTTTATGTACGTGTACATATTAAAACGCAACGTTTTTGACACAAGTAGAGAAGAAGCGGAGAGACTGTTTGGCCAATTAGGACGCAGGATACAATTTTTCACTGTGGAAAAATAAAACTGCACAATAAAATCCGCGAAGCACCAAGACCGTGAAGATGAACCGCGTTATAGCGAGAGTTCACTGCATGTCAAAGCAGAGAGGCCTTTAGACATCAGTGTTCTTCCCCTCAGAGAAAAATCTCTATGCAGCCAGAGGTTGAATTATTTTTCTGGTTCTGTTAGCAGCAAGAGATAGGTTTTCAACACATCTACTTTTATGATTTTTGGTGAAGGTAATTCCTAAATATACAACATTTTGCTTACTTTCTTCCAATCATCTTTTTCTAGACCTAATAAAGGCGCCCTCTACTCTAACTTTAACAATGGTTCTTGGTTATTAAATAGCTGTTTTACATACATTATATATTTTTTCCAGGTGTCAACGGAGAGTGTGGAGAGTGACTTATTCTTGTCACTCCACATGACAAGCCATTCTTGTCTACATTCTTAGTTGTTCATACAACATCTGAGATGCTCATCATCTTAGATCAGTGGTTCCCAAAGAATTTTGTAATCCATAGGGGCCACCCTATGGATTAGCTTCCCAGTTTGAACTTCTGGGCAATGTCTTGAGTCAATCAAATTGTCTATCCTGTATCTCCTGGGAATGTTATGCTTGCATGATGAATGCAAGCAAAAAATATCTGATTTCTCTTACTTTTCCCCACCCAACTGTATTTATTTAATCCATAGGGGCCACCCTATGGATTACAATAAAATCCTCCCCCATAAAGAAATAAAAATCAACTGGGCACACACATTGTTCAACCAGACATAAACCTATACATATATTTTGTTTTCAGACTCCAATGAAGTTTTTTCACACTTCAGGTTGCAACAAAACAGACTACAAACCATCTTTACAGTGAAACACTTTTGTGTAACTTTTTTTCATTCATCCATTCTGCACCCCTCTCCCCATGCAATGGCACAGCGCTCCCGCTAAGAGGTGCACCCCACACTTAGGGAACTACTGTCTTTGATGAACATTTTGTCTCAGATGTTCAGTAATTCTGAAAAATATTTTCTCTCTTCATTTGAATTTGATCCACTGACTTCAGGGAAAGAGTGGTTAAGTTGGAAATGATGGAATCTTTAGTTAGTCTTTATTTTCTCTAGCTATATCCTTACCACATTTTCTTAAATATTTTCCCATTTCAAACTTCAGAAGTTCTGAATTCAACCCCAACATATTCTCACTATCAGCTTTGAACCTGTATTTATTTATCAAAGATTCAAAGTTGTGGATAATATAATTCTATTTTAAAAGTGAGTTGTTCAGTTTCCAAAATGTGAATCTTTATTAACTGCTTGATTGAAACTTTAACTTGATGTTTCTGGCACAGTGATCTGTAAGGGAAGTTGACAAGATACTACTATTGTTCTGATAAATAGTCAGACACCAGCCAGTAATCAATGTGAGCTTGGTATGACTGTTCCTTATTATGCCATGTGTATATTCGTTTTGAGAGGAAGTCCTCTCCTCATATATCTACGGGACTAAAGCATTCTATAAAAGCATTTAAATAGTTATTAGTATTATTAAAGTAGTGTTGTGGCCATCTATCAAGTAAACTATCAGCAGTAACATTGAAGTGCCCTCCTATTAGCATCCAGATATGTATTTAACCAGTGTAGTAGACGATTTTCAAAATGACAAAATATATATATTTGTACTTTTGGTCTTTCTAAATTCTCCTTCGGTGTCCGTGTGTGTCTGTGTGTGTGCATGGTTATTTGTCCTGTCGGTCTCTGTGTCGCCCTGCGACCGACTGATGACCTGTCCAGGGTGAACCCCGCCTCTTGCCCGAAACGTTGGCTGGAGATAGGCACCAACAACCCTCCCAGGCCCTCCAGTGTGAGTGGATGTAAGAAAAAGGATGGATGGTTTTCTGGATTGGACATCATGTGACTTATTATGTGTCACACATGCACTATTGCTATGCATTGAATCTGAATATTGGTGCCCAGAAAAATGACATCACCGTGCATAAAATCTGAAAAAGGTGACCCTTTCACCAACACTCTGTCAGATCAGTAGGGCAGATGTTAATCTGCACATCAACTCTAAAGCCAGAACCATTGCTGTACCAAAACAAAACAAATACAGAAAAAATGACCCATTTTCAACTACTTAATTATAAAACTCTAGAAGAAATTATAAGTCAATTAAGTTCAAGCTCCTGCTGTCTGGATGTCCTTCCCACACATTTCTTTAAGAAAGTCCTGCCTGTTATTGTTACTGATCTGATCCAAATTGTAAACTCATCGCTTACATCAGGTGTTTTCCCCCAGGCTTTGAAAACAGCAGTCATCAAACCACTGAAAAAAGAACAACCTGGACAAATCACTACTGCAGAATTACAGGCCAACCTCTGACCTCTGACCTCCCATTCATCAGCAAAGTTATTGAAAAAACTGT